GGAATTGTGTAGGCTTGGGTCACTGGTGATCAGACTGGGCAGTTTGGTTTCTCTTTCAATAGTGATGATTAACGTGGAGTTTAGTGCTGACTGGGTGCCAGGTACTGGCCAGCCCTGGGAGGGACCCACGGGGAGACGTGCAGCAAGCAGCCCTGTGGTTTTATACCCACCGTGATCCAGCCTGCTGTGTGGCCCCAGTTAGACGGAGCAGGCAAGCCTCGGCACATGACTCCAGTTGTATCCTCACAAAGTAAGTGTCAATTCAGCTGCGTCCTAACTCGGTGGTTTGCCAGTTAGCACGGGATCATCCTCCATGACCGTGATCTGAAGTCACTCAGCCAATCAGCTGCGAGGGCACTAGGGTGGGCTGGAAGGTCACAGGCCTGGTGTAATGGGCAGTTTCCCCGGGGAGGGGAGCACCTTTTATCTCATAAGTGCTAAGAGGAGAGGGAGGCCAGCTGCGAAGGAGGGACCCAACTCCTAGAAAGAAAAGAGCAAGAGACCGCGTGTCCTTTGGACCCAGGTCTCTGCCCGGAGAACCTCCTAGACCCAGGGACGGCTGCTTTCAAGGGGCGCCAGCCCCACCCTGTGAGGAGGAGACAAGCACCTTCCCTTAGCTGACACCCAGATTTCAGACTGGTGGCCTCCTGCACCGTGAGGGAATCCTGTTCTGCTTGTGGAAATGTGGGGGTTCTCTATGTCAGCACTGGACTACTAAGGGGTTCCAGAAGAACCAGGCTTCGCCAAGAACCGAGGGCAAAGGCAAGGCTGTCTACGCCCCCAAGTGCAAGTCCTCAGTCCACCTCCCCCAGACCATGGCTTTCGCCCTCCTGCACCCGGAAGCGGTGGGTCCTGTGTGCTCTGGCCGCTGAGTAGGCCCTCTGCTGACTCTGCTGGTCTTGCCCCAGTTCCCAAGAGCTTCTGCAGGCAGGGCTGTGTCCTGGATTGTCCCACGTCCCCACATCCTTTGTGAAACGGAATCTGCAGTTGTTGTTGACGGCCACCATGCTGTTGCATGCCAATATTTAAACCAAAGCTTCTCCCTAACCAGATGCAGCAGAAAGGCTGGCCTGAGGGAAGAGGGCTGCAGGGGGCCCGGAGAATGGACCTTCTCCTTGCCAGCTCTGGGGAAGGCCCGAGCACCGGGCTCAGGCACAGCTGTGTGGTCCACACGTAGTCCGAGGTCCTCCTGTCCCCGGGGACTAGCCCTAATGCTTATCCACGTTCCCGTCCCTTTGCCTCTGTACGCTGCCTTAAACAAATCGTATATAATTTGGCTTAGGTCAAAAGTGTAGTGTGCCTTTTCCAGGGAAGGAGAGCTGACTCAGCTCAAAGTGAACATTTCTACTATTGGTCTGTTAGAGCTTCATTCTCCCCCTTGCCAGACAAGGGAGGGACAGTTTTGCCCTTGGGGACTTGCCTGGGTGCGCCCTTAGTGAAAACTGGGGTACCAGGGCCACATGGTCATGAGTCATACGCCAACCAAGGTGGCCGGAGGGCCCTGCGCCAAGCTTGTAAGCTTTTCTACCCTGAACTAGTGTGCAGTCCCCCAGTGACAGTGATGAATTTCTCTCCTGCCAGTCGTGATTTGTTGTGCCGAAATTCCCTTTTGTTTCCATACATTCTAATTTAGCTGTGAATCCTTTGGACACCGTTATGGCTGCATGCTGATGGCCTCACTGAACTGGTGGATTGGCTTTTGTCCTTGTCCTGGTTCAGATTTAATAAAGAGGCCTATTTAAAATACATTGGGATGTTGGGTCTTTCCCCCACCATCCCCACAACATTGGTGGCTACTGGGAGCAATGGTTGGCACCCCATTGAAACACGGCCTCATGTACCATTTTCCTCTCTCTATCCATGCCTCCCCGACCCTCTGGTCCCTCCGTTCTCGTCCCTTCCCTTCCCTCTCTTCCCGGGCTCTGGGCACCTACCGGCATTGCTGAGCGCTGCTGGTGGCAGGCTGCTTCCTGACCCCGAGAGGCAGTGTGCATGGCATCCCTGCTCCCAGTGATCTTCTTTTGCAGCTGAGCCCACAGATGTATGAAGGAGGGACCCACCTCCTGACCCCGGGCCCTGGCCTGTCTGCGTTCGTTAGAAGGCATTGATTTATTTGTGAGCACCAGGCTTTGCCGGAGAAATTCTTCCCCAGCCCTCTGGGTAGCACGGCTGGAAAGAATTCCATCATCTTCACTGCTGCTCTCGTTTGCAGGGTGGTAGAAGGACACCCCTGATCGAGTGGGCTGAGCACGTGCGCTCTGATCCATTTCTTGCTGAAGCCTGGAGCCTGTCCCCCGTCGTCTTTTGTGTTGCTTGTTAGCTTGTTGTGTGTTCCCATCGACTTTCATCGTCCGAGATCATAAAACGGCTCACGTGCCCCTGATGACTCTGGAATTTTGCTTGTCCGTTTCCACTGGAGGAAATGGGTCTGCTGCCAACCCAGGGGAATTCCTCCGTGGGATCAGAAAGAGAGGGGGCCGAGCGAATGAGCTGGGAGATATTAGAGTTCCCCTCCTCATTACCTGCGGTTAGTGATGCCATCTGGGGTGCCGTGGTGGGTTCAGCGCTCAGCGTCTCTCCTTCCATACAAGTTTTAGCCAGCGGGCTTCAGGCACAGCCACGACCGACCAGCCGGTAGTAGCTTGCCTGTTGCGGTGAGGCTGACCAGGTCTGGGCAGAATTCCTGAGCTGAGCCGCGGACTAGGGAACTTGTCCTCGGGAAATTCATCCAATGACAAGCTGGTGATTACAGCAGTTCAATCGGTAACTGATCCGAGGGCTGACTCCACTGTGCAGCCGAACAGCAGCCAACGATGCCATTAGATGCCGGCTTGTCTGCTACTGTTCCATGAACATGGTCCTCTGCAGTCTGACACCTTGCCGTTTTGAGTACTGAAAGGGAAGTTGGGTCTTGTGATGAGCGGAGATTTACACCTTCCCATTTTTCCTCTCTAGGGTTGAAGATGATGGCTGCAGGCAAGTTTGCGAGCCTTCCCAGAAACATGGCTGTGAGTCACCAGTTCTCCGTGGCCTCGTCCATGGACCTTCTGAGCAGCAAGTCCTCGCTCGCTGAACACCGCACAGATGCCTCTCAGGACGTGTCTATCCATGGCACCCTGCCACGGAAGAAAAAAGGCCCTCCTCCCTCCAGGTCGTGCGATACCTTTGGTCACATGGGTCCCCTCCCTCACGGCAAGTCCCCACGGCAGCACGCGCCTCGCACCCAGGATGCCATCCAGGAGCACCCACTGCAAGACTGGAAGGGCGAAGCCTCCGCCTTCAGGTAGCTTCTCTAATTTCTCAAGTGAGCCTGTGCTGTCCGCTGGCCTTTCAGAAAAGTCTGTTTGTGATGGAAAATGTTAAACGTATAAAGGTAGAGCAAGTCATTGAATTAGCCTCCAGGGACCCTTCACCCAGGTTCAGCAGCGATCAGCTCCTGGCCCGTCCTGTTTTCTCTCTTCGCTCACTCTCCTTTCCTCCTCCTCTGGCCTCATTTTCTCTGTAAATATTTTAATACGTGCCTTTCGATGACTACGACTCTTATTTTTATATATCTAGCTGGGAAGTTCTGTTGAAATTTGTTCGGCATCACAGGAACATGCATATATATATATATATGTATGTATGTATGTATGTATATGTATATATATATCCCCACTGTAATGTCATCTGTAAACATTTCAATACGTATCTTTCAATGATAAGGAACTGTGTGTGTGTGTGTGTGTGTGTGTGTGTGTGTTTTTTAAAACACTAATTTTGTGGGTATATATACAAAACACTACTATAACACCAAGGGGAAAAACTAACCATTTCATCCTTTTGAAGGAAATGTACATATATAGTTGCAAATGTATTTTATCTTAACATCAGGTTCTGAACCACGGCTGTCCAATTCTTCAGAAATGGCTGGGTGTCTATAAGTTAGGACCTGCAGCCACTGGGATTTAGTTGTCAAGATGCTGAAGTACAGTTGTGTGGCGCGTGCAATAGCAGGTCAACTTTGGGATGCTTTAGTTAGGACAGGAATTGAGTTTTGCCACCTACCAGCCAGGGATCTGGATAAATAAACCTTATGATTTTAAGTGCTTCTCTGGGTTGGTAAATCCGACCGGCTGTGATTGGTTTCAGCTTGTTAGAGCTGGTTTGGGAACTCCACTCCCTTTCCTGTTGGGGAAGATCAGTAATCTGTGATGCTATCAGGTAAGAAATGGGGCAGTTTCTTCTGTTGTATCTTCCGGCTGGCTCTCTGTCTTTTTTGTCTAACAATGTGGCAAAGACAGCCACATTAGTCCTAGCTCATTTATTCATTCAATGTCTAGATATTGAGTGCCTATGTTAATTAGTTTACATTGATTTTTATATGCACCAGCCTTCACCAGGAAAATTCTGCCTTGTCCTCTGAGTGTAATAACTAGAAAACTTGGCAAGCACGGAAGACGACATCCTAGCAGTCAAATCAGTCCAGTAATCTACTCTTGTAGGACCAGAAGAATGTGAACTAACAGGGTGATGGGTAGTGGGGGTGGGGGGGTGGGGCATCTGAAGCAATGTCCTCCCAGAACACATGCCCTGGTGAGCAATCTGATAAATGCAAGTAAATAAAACAGTTTCGTTTTATAGTAAAGGCTACAGCGGAAATAGAGGGATAGGCTGGAGATTTATTGGGGTCATTTTCTTTTATGACAGAGTGGACAGGCCTCTGAGGCAATGTATTCAAACTAGGACTTGCATAAGGATGGGTGATAGCCATGGAGCCAAGGAACAGAAAAGTGGAAGCCTCTTGCAAGCACAGAGGAGGCATGTGCAAAGGGCCTGAGGCAAGAACCAGGTTGGTGTGCTTGGGAAAGTCTCAGGAAGTTGGCGTGGCCTGTGGCTGAGCGTACGCGTTGAGAGGAGATTGGGAGAGGCTGACAGAGCTGGCTAGGCAAGCCAAGTGTGCAGAATTGCTTTCGTTGCATAATTGCACACGGAGAAGAAGAAAGCTGAGGGGAGCCTATTTTAGGAGCTCTGGTGGAAGAGTGGTTAGACACTGGGCTCTGCAGGGGCAAGACGAGGCTTTCTGCGCCCACACAGAGTGAGTCTCTAAAACCCACCGGGGCGGGTTTGCCTTCACGGACTCTCTCTCATCATCCGAGGTGGCTGCGAGTCCCAGTTGACTCCATGGCAGGAGTTTGGAGCTTGGTTTGTTCTAGAAAAGGCGTCCTGGTGGTGGAGTGAGTGACCCCTTAGCTGCTAACCTGAAGGTCCGCTATGACCCCTAAGGCTGCTATCCTCAAGGTCAGCTGCCGGTGCTCCAGGGGAGAAAGAGGAGGCGTTCTGCTTCTGCAATGTTTACAGCGTTGGAAACCCAAAGGGGCGGTTCTGCTGGGCCCTCAAAGGTCATAATTTACTCCATGGTGGTGGGCTGGTTTCAGGTTCTTGGGTGGAGAAAGTCCCAGGGGTCCTGAAAAGTCCCTGACACTGGAAGGATCCCCAGGGTGTCCTGGGACTTGGAAGGCCCTGGCCCTTCTCCACAAAATCTAGGTGGGTGACCTCTGAGCTTAGAGAGAGAGAGTGGGCGGCCTGCTGGTGAGACAGGTGAATTTTGAGGTGCATCCCTGGATGGATCGTATTACCTGGTCGCCACTTACAGGTGCCAGGATGCAGATGAGGAGCAGTCATGGCCCCCCCCTTAGAAGACTCTGAGGCAGCAAAGCACAGTGACCTAGGCCAGCCAGAAATGCCAGTCGACTTGATGTGGCGTCAGAACCCACCTGGATTGCTGTGGACCGCTTTTTATTGATTAACTTCAGCTCTGTATTGGGCCCTATTAAACAATACCTCACGGGCCTTAAGCAGCCTTACGACTATTTGGAAATCATCTAGGGGCACCATGGCAAACCGGCCTGACCACCTGGTTCCAGATGTTACAGCCTTGACAACCCTATGGCGCGGTCCCCCTCTGCACCCACGGGCCTGCCGAGAGTCAGAGTGGGCTCTCAACAGCTGACAATCGCAGCAGCTTAAGCTCCACTGACTGCCGTCAAGTGGATGCCAACTCGTAGTGACCTGTAGGGCAGGCTCGAACTACCCCTGTGAGCTTCCAAGACTGTCGCTGTATGGAGTAGACAACCCCGCCTTGGGTGGTTTTGAACGGTGGACATTTCAAATGGCAGTCCAACGCGTGAGCACGGCGCCACTAGGACTGCACTGCACATTAAGAAAGAAGCTGCGAGGTTCCAGACACAGACCGACTCATGCCTTGAAATTCTCAGGTCCTTGGTGGGTGCCAGCTCTTATTCGGGGCTCTTTGTGGAGGGGTGGCAATGGAGTCGCCCTTCCTATCTTGCGGAAGTTGTGGATAAACACGCAGGGCCCAGGCTGACAACCTGCCAGAGCTTCAAAGCTTTCTGATTTAAAAACAGACTTGGACAGAGGTCAGGCCGCTGCCGAAGATCTTATCACAGAGTGAGCACAAGTCCCGAGTTTGAAGTCCAATCTCCGGAGGACGTAGCCTGAACTGCTTGTCTAGATTTGTTTAGGAGACACGAGTCCAAATTCACATCCGGTCTCCCTCAATTTAATATATGATATCATTGAAGATGGAGGCAAGGGGCAACAAACGTGTCACGGGACGTGTGCAGCGTGTGATTGTGTGGCAGAAAAACACAAACTTCTACACCCTCCCAGCCTCGTGTCTTATATCTTACAGGAGTTGGAATTGACTTGAAGGCAATTTATGTAATATGCTTTCACATTGTTCTTCAGGTATTCCCAATTTGGGGGAGTTCGAAGTATCTTATAGTAACCCCCCTTTCAAGTGTCCCTAATAAGATGACGGGCTACCTCGATTCCGTTGGAACAAGCCACAGTCTAAAGAAAGAACCCCATGCCTCTGTCGCCGATGGACCAGCAGGATGAATGGGGGAGAGGGGGTGTCAGCTCTCACACGGAAAAGGATTGCGGAGACCACCCACTCCCGCCAGCTCACCCCGCTCCTCCCTGTGTGGCCTGATGTTCTGGATTTGGATCTCTGTCTCCAGGGACCCAAGGAAGGATGGCGGTTGTCCTTAGGTTCTGCCAAGTCCACTCTGACCCACAGTGAGCCCGCGTGCGACAGAACAAAGCAGCGCCCGGCCCTGCGCCAGCCTCACAATGGTTCCGTTTGAGCCCGTTGCTGCAGCCACTGTGTCAGTCCGTCTCCTTGAGCGTCTGATGAGGCGTCCATTGAACAAGCTTATTGGTTTTTTTGTTGGGGGTGGGGGGGCTCAGGTAAATGAGATTGGCCTTCCCTTTCCTTTGCAGAGTGAATGTAGGGTTTCAGTCCGGTGGACAGTGACTTGCTCAGATGTCCAGACGGGAAGCAGTCCTTTGCATCACAGGTGCTGTGAGTGGGGTGATCCTCTGGGAGAACCCAGGCCTCCTCTTCGGGATGCCTTGTTCCCATGCCAGGCAACCCCTAATCCTGGGAAAGCCTCAAAGTTGCAAGCTTGCCATTGTCTCTCAAGACAGATTTACCGCCAAGGTCAAGAGCCCTGGGGGCTTCGTGGTTCCGAGGTGGGTTGCTAACTGCGGGGCCAGTAGTCCACTCCGTCTGCCTCTCTGAGGGAGAAGGCTGGAAGGGACAGTCTTACCCTGCCCTACAGGGCTGCTGTGAGTCGGAATCGACTCGATAGCGTGTACGGCTGCCGCTTCTTCTTTGCATATCATAACTCTGAGCGGGGCCGCAGATTCCCCACGAGCGGCATCGCGGCTGTCCTTTACAGCTGACACACTGGGTTAGGGGCCCTGGAGGACCTTAGATCGGACCCTAGCAGGTGACTGAGCTGCGATCAGAACCCAGAAGCCCCTGCCGTGCCTCCCTCCCCAGACACCGTGCCCCAAAGCCTCCAGTATCGGTGCTGGCAGCGAGTGGGCACCCGCTGAACTGTCTTCTGGCACAGAGTCAACACCCAGAGTGGGGACACTCCCCCCACCCCACCTCCCCTGGGGGAGATTGGAACCCGGGCCGACAAAAGCCAGTTAGACGAAGGCTGACCTGGAAGGGGGTGTTGGTTTCCGCATTCAGAGGCCAGCTCTTCTGTTTGCTAGGGATGCTGTTTGTTTTGAACGTTCTGCTGCACTTTGGGCCCAACACTGTATACACATTTGGGTTCATGGCGTGCGTGGGTTGCCATCCTCTCGGTGTGACAGCAGTCTCCCCCACCTGTCCCTGGGCTCCCCGTTTTCATCTGTCCCTCTCACAGGCCATCGTCTCTTGGCTCCGAGAGAGCTTGGCTGCCCTTGGATGTACTTGTGGTT